CTCCTTTTTTTTGTATGGGCTTCTCTTACTCCACACACCATCTCTTGTTGGGAGAGACTGGGACTGCTCTGTACAGCCAGTGCTTCCTCCATTCCTTTCAGCACCTCCTGCTGAGAGAAGCTGAGACTGGAGTAGCAGGGCCAGGGCCACCTCTGCAGCTTCCTGCAGCAGCTGCTGAGAGCAGAGGCTGGAGCTTGGGCAGTCGGAGTCCATGACTGCACTGAGCTGCCTGGAGACTGCTGGAAGTGCTTGGGCTCTTCCTCAGGAGTGTCCCTCACTGGGCCCTGCTGGCTCTTAGGATGTTCTGATCCTGGTCGTTCCGAGTTGTACAATCGTGTTTCTTTTGGCTGGGGTATTACTCTCCTGTAATCAGTTTCTTATCCCTTGTCTCTTCTCGTTTCCTGATTAAACACTCGTTTTCTTAGACTGACTCTCTCATCTCTCTGCTATGATGTTGATGGTCTGATGGAATTGGCCAGCTGTGTGCCAGGGGGAGCTCCTGTGAGAGCTGGTAGATGGCTGTCCTGCCAGGGACCTGCTCAGGGAGTAGCAGGTCAGCATGAGGTAGGTGGCCAGCGCTTTTTGGCAAGCTGTGAGTCAGAAATTTATTGTCTGAAAATGACATTCCTCTGTAGAGCCTGAGGCACGTGCTGAGTGGGTGGCTGATGGGCATGAGGGGAGCTGGTGTAAAAGGTAAGCCTTTCTAAACTTCTGCCAGCCACCAGGTTCCCTTTCTGGTCTTGACGTCAGCGATACCACTTGGTAACGCAGAGCTTCATGTTTCAGAAATCTTGTACAAAGCAGTAGCTGCTCACCCTTGATGTAAGTGTTATATGTTAGGAAGTAAAGAAGGCTCATGTTCTGCTCCCATCAGTTTAGAGGTAAGCTTGGTGGAGTATGCGAGAGATCCAATGGGGATGATGTTGCAGGAAATTAATTTTAGAAACCTTTTCTTTTTATGCTAAGGAAATTTAAAAGGCTATTGCCATCTGTAAGTATACAAGCACGAAAACTTCAAGGCTCTTTTAATGGGAACTGAGATGATTAATGGATGCTAAGGATCTAGTTTCTCTGTAGTAATATATTTTGCTTTTTATTTGGTTTAGCCAATGACAGTAGGGAGCTTCTAGCTCCTGTAAGCTAGAAATATATGCCTGTTTGTATTTGGTATTTCCATTGACACTTTAAAAAACAAAAAAACACCTTTGTCCCTGTTGGGCAAAGCAGACGAACAGGCTCCTTTGGTTTGACTTCCTGCACAGCACAGGCCTGAGTGTGATTGAGGTTCCTGTACTTCTGATTGTGCAACAGTAACTATTTAAGGACCTCCTTACAGCCCTTTGTGTTCCTTGGTAAGTTGTTCCAATGTCTAGTTACGTGCTAATTATAAATATTGATGTTTGTAAGACTGTGTTAAGTTTTGTGAGTTTTGAACAAATTCCATGTTGATTATGAAGCTGCCTGCTATTGGCAAAACTCCTGACTTTAGAAATGAGAGCACAGCTTGATCCCTGGAAAGTGTAGGATTCTGCAGCACTTTCTGTGTTCTCTGGTTCTTGTATTTTCAGAACTGGGCAAGGAGTTTGGAGAAAAGTGAGAATTTTGTAATAAAGTCTAACCTTTTCCTGTCCACTGTTTATAGGAGAACAAATAGGGGAAGAAAGAAGGGAGCATCTTCTAGAAGGAAAGGAGCAAAGGGGAGATGGGCAAAAGCTGAATGTGCTAAATATCAGGATCAGAAGTGACAGTTCTTGCACTGAGGATTTGGACTGATTAGGGAAATGGCAGAGCCTTATCTGTGTTATCTATTAGAAGACTACAATTACTCCCTGTGCAGGGAAGTTTTCAGATTATTGTAACTACAATACGTTAGGAGCACCAGAGCACTGTCACCAGTATCTTTGGTTTGAGGAAAAGTAGTGGAGCTGCTTATACTGAGGTCAGAAGGGAATTCTTCTAGAAGTACACTTACTCTCATTCTATGGAGTCCCCATGATGGCTGTTAGAGAAAAGAAATAGCAATGCACAATATCTTTCACTGTGTTCAAAACTCTCTCTGGTTATTTTACACACTCCAGTCCTCATACAGATCCCATTGCTTTCATGACAGACCTCATCAGCGTTGTCTTCCAGCAGCTGCAGAGCCAAAACAGGGGAAGAGCCATGGAATCTCAGCTCAGACTGACATTGACTGAACAAGCCACTCAGTGGTGTGAGGCACAGGTCAGCAGTTTCAGAAGTTTCCAGTCTTGTTCTCTGACAAAATTCCTCACAGTGAGCAGTCAGAAAGGGGAGCTGTGTGGAGGTGCAACGTAATTTATTCAGGTCTGTCAGAACACACTTTCGGTACTGACTTTCTGCACCTGTTAATCTTACGTTTTTTCTGAGCCATATTCCAAGGAAGTGCATCTGTGCAAGGGCAGGAAAGTTTAATGAGAAAGATTTTTTTTGTTTTTGTTTTTTTCATGCAGGGTGGCTGGAAGATTCTTGAGGTACCTTTCCTTTATAAGGTGCAGAGATGAGGGAGCCCTGGTGGCCTCAAAAGCCCTAATCTATTATTAAATGAAAAAAATTATTACTCAGTGCAGCCTTGTTAGTTTGGTCAGTTTTCTAGGAGTGGAGAAAGTACCTAGGCTCAAACCTTATGGAAAAAAATGTTTTAGTAGTAGGCAAGTGCTAAGGTCACAGTCACCTAGAGTTCCCTTTTGACTTTCATTTAACCCATGTGTTTTTTTCACTTGAGAGTAAATGTTCTCCTGGCCCTTACAGAATAGCTGGGTTTGGAAGGGACCTCTTGAGATCACCTGGTCCAAACCCCCTGCTCAAGCAGGATGAGCTAGAGCAGGTTGCCACGGACCGTATCCAGATGGGTTTTGAGTATCTCCACAACCTCTTTGGGCACCTTGTTCCAGTGTTCAACCACCCTCACAGTAAATCAGTGTTTTCTGTTCAGGTGAGATTTCCTGTGTTTCAGTTCCTGTCCATTGCCTCTTGTCCCATCACGAAGCACCACTGAGAAGAGTATGGCCCTGTCTTGTTTGCACCCTCCCATCAGATATTTATAAACACTGATAAGACCCTCTCTGAACCTTCTCTTCTCTAGGCTGGACAATCCCAGCCCTCTGAGCCTCTCCTTGTATGAGCGCTGGTTAAGTCCCTTAATCATCTTTGTGGTCCTTCACTGCATTGGCTCCAGTAAATCCACATCTGTCTTGTACGGGAGAGTCCAGCACTGGACACAGCACTCCAGGCATGGCCTCACCGAGGCTGAATAGAAGGGAAGGATCACCTCCTTCAACCTACTGGCAATGCTCCTCCTAATGCAGCCCAGGATGCTGTTGGCCGCTTTTACCACAAGGGTGCACTGCTGGCCCACGTTCAAATTGCCAGGACCCCTAGGTCCTTTTCTACAGAGCTGCTCTCCATCCATCCAGCTGATAGGCCCACAGCCTGTCCTGGTGTGAGGAGTTATTCCTCCCCAGGTGCAGGACTTTGCATTTCCCTTTCTTGACCTTCATGACGTTCTTTCTTTGCTGCCTGTTTCACCAGCCTGTTGCGGTCCTGCTAATAGCAGCGCAACCATCATCTTGTGCATCAGCCACTCCTCCCCATTTTATGTCATCTGTGAACTTGCTGAAGGTGTGTTTGGGCCCATCATCCAGGCCATAAATGAAGCTGTTTTAAACAGAACTGGCCCTAGTATCTATCTACCCTTGGGGGACACCACTAGTGACTGGCCTCCAGCTGGGCGTCATGGCCTGATCACAACTCTCTGAGCCTGGCACTTCAGCTAGTTTTTAGTCTACCTCACTGGCCAGGTGTCTAGCCTGTACTTTTATCAGCTTGTCTATGAAGGTGCTATGGTAGACAGTGGCAAAAGCCTTACTAAAGTCAAAGCAGACATCATCCACTGCTTCCCATGCTCCACTAAGCTACTCACTCATCTCATCATAGAAGGCTACTAGGTTGGTTAGGCAGGATTTCCCCCTTGTAAATCCATGCTGACTCAGCCTGATCACTATCCTGTCCATCACATGTCTGGAAATGTATCCAGGATTAGTTCAGCCATCACCTTTCCAGGTATCAAAAGTGAGACTGACTGCTCTGCAGTTCCCCAGAGGCACATAGCTGCATTTGGTGTCTTTAGAGCACCAATAAACCATATGAATTGGTGTTGTCAAAGGATTAAAGCAACATGCATATCAACAAACAGGTAGGGCTAGAATTAGTTGGGTCTGTTTTAATTTACTGGCTTTGATGATATTTATTTGGGATATGTGGGTGTGTGGGTGTGTTTTTTTTTTTTTCCCCCCCCTTTCAGCCTCCATATAGCAATAGCCTCCTGGAG